TGCCTCTCCTGAGTTACCAATGGACTAGTCTATGTCGACGCCATATTAGCTGAGTTATACTTTTTCTGATTCTGCTGGCTTGGTATCTTGCCCTGATCAGGTGTTGACTTCTTACCCAAATCCTGTGCCCATTTAGGTTTTCCATGGAGATCCCAACATGTATCTCTCGTGTGCCGTGTCTTCTACCAGTGAGTGCACCAAAGTTTACTCTTATTATCTGTTCTCTTCTGAAAGTCACCTTTCTTAAAAGCACCTCCAACATTTGTATCTGAATTTCCCCGAACAGCTAGGGCAACTGACTCCCCCTCTACACAATTCGTCACACTTCTTCTACTCTCGTATGACTACACTAAGGCATACACCTCCTGAACTGATCGCAAGTCTTTACTACCCAAGATCTACACCCTGATGGACTCATATGAAGGATTCAGCCCTAGGAGGAAGGCAAAGACCCGTTGCTGAGATACAAGTGACTTATACGCCTTTGCATCTTCATCACACTTCCAATTCACATTCTGGTAGTGATCCAAGTTCTTTCCATATCGATGTCAAATCAGAATAATACATCGAGAGACTCCTCTCCCCCTGCTTGCAAGTAGAGGATTCAGCTTGCAGTTGATATATCTTGGCATAGTGTCTCTTCTCTGAATAGGTGGACTTTGCTTGTTCCCATATCTCACAAGCAGTTTCAGCCCACATAAAAGTCTTCCTTACCTGTGGCAGCATGGAAACCAAGAGCCATGACATCACCATACTATTCTCTTGGTTCCCACCTATCATATTCAGCACTTCCGTACTTCGGTTCATTCACTCTCCCATTGATGTATCCTATTTTCCCCCTAGCAGTGATGTAGAATTTTATTCCCCTAGACCACTCAAGGTAGTTCAGACCATCAAAGGGAATAACAACCATGGGGAAACTCATATCCATTCTCCCACTCATTCCATTGTGGCTCCCTAAAATCTCTTAAGTAGCAGAATTCTCAGACGACATGGTAAGCACAAGAGAATAGTATTCTGATTTGATCCCTCCTTATATCGACAAAAGCTCCACACACAACAATTCAGTTCTGGACTTGATCTGAGCACAAAAACAAACAGCACCAACTTCCAAAGAAGAACTATGACGAGACTGATTTTCACCACAGCATTAATCAATAACGTGTAAGTTCCACCACAGCATTAATCAATAAGAGAGATCCTAACACACATGAAATTAGACTAACAAGCAGAGAGAACAGGTCATCTACGACCTACAGTCACCTTTTCATAGGTACAGGATCACACGATCCAACAAATAAAAGATATAACCCTCACAAAAGTCTGCCGACATTCAGTAGTTTGGATTCATTTGCTCTCCACTTGGTACACAACAGAGGAAAGAAATAAAAGAAGAAAGAAAACTTTAGGGTTGTACCAGTTGCAGATCTGATTTGATCAGCCCAGATTCAGTCCTCTGTTCCATTGAACTTTACTGGTAGAATATCTCTTTTCTCCATGGCCATTTCAGCAAAGTAGGCAAGGAAAACTGAGAAAATAGACCAGCCGAAGGTTCAAGAAAGTCCAAAACTCGATGGAATAAGTGTGTCCAACCACACGTCACAGAGAGGAATCAAAATCCAATAAAGAAACCAATCACACGGTCTTCTCGAACTGATAACAGTCCAAAAAAGGTAAGTTTTCTTGACTGTCGAACAAGAAGAGGGCAGAACACTCTTCAAAAGGGATCCAAACCAAAAAAAAAAATTATAGATCTATATAGATCTGACCTGGGCAACTTCAGATCTGAAGTTTCACAGTGATTGGAGTAGCCGATTGAGAGAAAATGAAGAAACCCTATTTCTTATGGCAAGCTTCCAGAGAAATAGCAGTAGAGATGTGCAGATCAGTACAGCAACATACGAAATCCAAAGCTGAAGATGAGTCGATCTCAGATCTAAAAGGATGTCAATCAAGGACAGGTTGAAAAACCTGCTCTAATACCATGTCAACTTGGATCAAATCAGAGAAGAATGAGTTGAGAGTGAAAAGGGTGTGTTCTCTCTTCAACCCCACGCCCAGAAATAATTAACTTATATATGAGATAATGCAATGTTATGGAAAGGACAGTTATGTCCTTGTCTTACAAGAAATAATAAAACAAAAGATATTGTACATAAGTTACAACATAAAAGGGTGGTCCCAAGGGCCAAAAAAGGAAAGAAGATGTAAGAGACATAGATTAGTCTCTACAGCTTAAACTAGCAAGCTCTGGTTTAAGAACAAACAATATCCAAGATGCAATAACCTTTGATGACTAACTGACAGCTGAAGGGCCTTTACATCCTTTCACATGCCACTTAACGGCTGGTTAACAATGGGTACTAAATTGTCACGTTTTGGAAGTTCAGGTACCAGATTGACACATTTTAAAGTTCATGGACCAAATTGAGACTAGGCCCAAAGTACAGGATACTAATCTGCAATTTTCCCTAAACTTTATTTGTTAAACACCCGCTACCTCCCCGTCCCGCCACTTCCTTTTCCTCCCACTTCCCCTCACTTCTTCCCCCCCAGTCCTCTCCCTTCAAGTCTCCTCTTCTTCTTCTCTCATCTAGAGAATAGAAACTAGGGAAGAGAATTAGCAGGAAGAGAATCAAAAGGACTTACCTCTTTAAGCTTGTAGACCCCTACAGCTTCTATTCCATCAAGGACACCCCTCTCTTCTACCTCCACAGAATTGGGTCTCCTCTCCAATGACCTAGGCTGGAGATGGGAGGAACTTTGATCAGGGTCTTTTCAAACTCTAGTCGGATCGCTTGTGTCTTGCTGGCTTTGAACATCTTGCACAGCCACTGGAGTCCCTTATCTCAATGTAGTTTCTCTTTGAGGTGAGCCTAATCTTTCTAAGTTATCTTGAGCTGCAGGTCAACCAAAAGTTCCCTAGTGGAGGTTGTCAACGACGACAACCTCTGGCTTTCCTCCTTTTCTTAGCCTAAGGCGTGTTATGCTGCTCGTAACTAGTTACCACCTATGCCCATTCCACCCCCTCCATTCTCTTTTTTGATCTCCTCAATTTGTTCACCTTTGAAGATTTTTTCCAAGTGTACCACTTCCTTCTGTGATTCCTATTCCCGTAAGCCTGGAGTCTTTCCCTCCCCTTTATCTTTTAAACCTTTATTTGTCTTTCTTCCTTCACCCCCGCTTGCCACGTGTCCTTCCTTTGCCCCTTTTTTCTTGTGATTTTCCTTTTTTGCCCTTCAAGGCTCCCATCTCCTTGCCTCCTTCCTCCTTGCATTGGCATATTGTCTCCCTCAACTCTGCACCTAGTCCCTGAACCTCTCGATATACCTCTCCCCTCGCCGGTTTCTCCACTAGAACAATGTTGTAGTTATCCCGAGAGAAACTCAAGAATGTATTGTCCTCCCCCTCCACCATAATCCTCAAGTCATATTTCTCGCCCGAAACCACAAATCAACGAAACTCAAAATTTCTAAGAACTCCTCCACCTCCACCAATAGCTGCACCATATCCAATCAATCCACACTACCCTTCTCCGTGCAAATAGTGCACCGGTTCCAGCTCCAAAATCCCCTTTGCTATTTCTTTGTTGTGAAACATAAATAGAAATAGTACCCCATTTAATTTTCCAACGCCCAATACTTTCTCCCTTCCCCACTCAACCACTGCCTAGTTCTCCACATCAAATTCTATTCCAACGAATCTCCCAACTAAGCTTGCCCCCAACACCCTCTTTCGTTCTTCTAGTTTTCCCACCTTTCGTACGTCTACCTCAATCAAGGCCACATGTTCCTGCAAAACATCAAAGAAATCCTTCTGATCGAAGTTCACATAATAAATTCATGGATTCTAATCCTTATGTTATGTTTGGTTTGATTGAAAATAAGAGAAACAGAAATTTGAGGGGATCAGATTTCTAATTTCTGTAATAGGTGGATTGCTATCATTTTTCATAGCGAGGAAGAACAGTTTATTCTTGTAAAGATTTGAAATCTTCCAGCTTCCCTCTTGTATTGAGGTCATTTCCCCTCTTTTTTTTTACAAATTTACTCATAATTACCAAGAAAAAAATATAACTTGGTAACTCATGAGGCCTGAGCCTCAGGCCTTAAGGTTGTTGAGAGATATATTGTATTTGGTTGTATTTGGGTTTTTGGAGGTTATAGGGGTATATTTGCAATGCTGATAAATTTTGGGGACTTGTATGTATTTATGGGAGGAAGAGGGGCATGTGTGAAATTCTGGTATAATTTGGCCTTTTGCTTATTTAAGCCATTGGTTGTGTGGGATTAGGGTGGAGCTAGTGGATGTTTTGTTGTGAGTCTATAGAGAGGTCAGCCATGTATCTCTTCTCAGTTCTCATAGTGGATATTTTTTGCTCTCTTCCTGTGGATGTAGGCTACCAAGCCGAACCACATTAAATCTTGGTGTTTTCTCTATTTCCTCTTCTTATTTTCTTCTTGATTTGTTATTCTATTTTATGTTACTTGACAAAGGTGTATGCCTAACTAAGGGCCTTGGTGCCTGCCTCACACCTCCATGTTTTTCAACATCAATTCAAACATAAGCAGAAGCATGCAATGTCTAGAATAACTTCCCAACATGATTCCATGATCAATGAAAGAACTAATCCTTGAAGGGGCAAGCCATTGGTTCAACAATTTGGTCTATATCAACATGGGTTGGTGCATAACAATGAAGTAACAAGTATTAAACTTTTTTGGGAAAACAAAATTATTTTGTGAGAATTAAACTTAACTATCTAATTCCCTCAATCAATAAACTAGAATGATATTTATGAAGAAGTTTACAAAATGAAATCCAACTGAAAACATCACAGTGAAGTCATGAGAAGCAAACTAAATTGTCCAATCAATTCATTCAATCATAAACTAGGCTGGTGATCAATTTTTTGTACACTGCAGCCCATTAAATGCATAACCAATAAGCAACTGAAATGCAAGAGAAAGGCTGCAAGAAATGTGATTTCAACTAATAACCTCTCGTTATCAGTGCAGAAGGTATTTGTGGACTCCAATACATTGTTTGATTGAAGGGAAAGTCCATCCAAAAGCACCTCTAGTCCCCCAATGCTTCTGAAGTGATTCTGAGCACGTGCATTATCAGATAATGCTAATTGAAGAGTGCACAAAGTTAAATACTGAAGTACTTTGTCAGTCCATTGTTCTTTCATATTCAGTCTTCTGATAACACGCAATAGTTCTGAAATAAAACAACCAGTTTCCGTGAATAAATTAAAGAGCACAGATACTGTAATTCTATTTTATTTGGAAAAAGGAAAAATCTGATGTGTAACACAATATTTATAAATGCATCTATGTTTCTTTCATTGATAAAAGTATAGTTGGGGAGGAAACCAAAAACAAAAGATCAAGTAGGAAGATATGAAAATGACTCATCAACACCAAAATAAAGACTATATGACAAACCATTCTCTTGAAAAAAAAAAAAAAAAAACTCTATGCTTGAAATCATTTTTTTTTAATTTGATTAGTCATGAACAGTACAAATAACTGTTGGAAGAATATCAAATAACCGCTTTGAAGACAGTAAAGCAATTACAACTTTGCCCAAAACAGTTGCTGCCTATAAACCTCCTACTTTGCTAATGCATCCACTATCCCATTTGCAGTCCTAATCCACTTGAAGGTAGTGCCTATATCCTTCATTAAGCTACCGGTTTCCCTAAAAGTGTGTCTGTATGCACAAGCACCTGGAGTTTTGTGATTTGCCCAGGATATAACTAGCTTAGAGACCCTTTCCACCCCTACCTGTTGAAGCCCAATTTGCTTGCCTATGCTTGAAACCCTTTTTTCTCTGATCAGCAGCCTATGCTTGAAACCTTTGAAACCACCAAGAACAAAAGCACAACTCATCAAACTGCAGATCATGCAGAGAGAAGTGCAGCAAAGGTCCACCATCACTTACAAAGGTTCTTTTGCTTCTTTATTTCCAAATTGCCAAACAAATAGTGTAACGAAACATATCCTAAAGAGTATATCTATTACTGCTCAATAAGTGAGAAGGCCAAGTAACCTCCCTCATAGAGTTGTGATGGATCGAAGACATCTAAAGAAATAAGTAATAGAATTCCAAATATGGGAAATTCTGAGGCAAAAGAGAAAAAGAGAGTTCATTGACTCTTCAGCTAACACAAAATGCATATTTTGCAAAGTTGCAAACCTCTATGGTTCACTTAAGTCTTTATTAAAGACAAAAAATTGGCTTTTCTTGAATAGACATACTTGTATCTCAAGTAAGCTAGAATAATTGCAAACATTGCTGGTTTTGATTATACTCCAACCCCTAACCAACACCCAGAAAGAAATTACGAATTACCAAAATTTAGCTTGACAGAATTTTCCAGAGGGGTTCATGACATCATTGTCTGTGCTATGAAGTGCAGATTTGTCGATTGCGGTCCACCCTCTCATGGCAGAAGTCCACCATAGAACCTTTGAATATCTTTAATGCCCAAACCCAATCCCAACAGATTGCTTTCAACACCATGTGATGAGGCCAAAAAAAAGAAGAAAAAATGAAAAAAAAAAAAAAACGTGAATGTATTCTGTTTTGAATGTTTTTGTAGTAGGATCCCAAATTCTTTTTTTGGGGGGTAGGCTTTGTTGACAGTTTGGGACCAGGAGTATTTTGGTCTCTTGGGTTCATATCTGTTGGGTTTTGGTCTCTTGGGTCTTTTTGTAACAAAAGTTATCTTTTGGGGATTTCTATGCTTCCCTTAGTGGAACCCTAAAGACTGAAAGAAAATAAATTAGCAAATTAGAAAGCATGAATTTTACCAAGTAATTCTACCTCCCAAAGAGACATAATTCCTTTTTCATGCACCCAATCTCTTTTCACACCTTTCTAAAATTGAGTACTAAAATGGGTAAAAGACTTAAACATACCCTGAGTTTTCATAAATTGACTAAAATGAACCATAAGTTTTTCAAAAAGACTAAAACATACCTTGTGGTCTAATCCCTCAGGACTTAAACATACCTTCCATCAATGAAAAGGACCATTTAAAATTTTAAAAATCCTATTTTGCCCTTTTTGAGAAGAAGGAATATAGGAAGAGAAGTGGAAAAAAAGTACTCAGTACTTGGTCAGGGTAACAAGCAGCTTGTAAACGACGATAAGGAGCATGATCAGTTTCAAGCTCCTTATTATTCTTTGAGGTAACCAGCAGCTCCTTAAACGACGATTAGTACTCAATTCTTTCTCTTTTTGTTTGATTTTGGGTTTTGTTTCAAATTGTTTATTATTTGTTTTCTCACGGTGGATGATATATGCGACAAACACAAAAAATGGTTTTCATTAGTATTGATTGTTGTAACTAGAGGCTTTTTATTGTAGTTCAATGTTTGTTTTGATATTCTTTGAGGGCTTCCAATCACCTATTTTGGGTTATCATAAATTGAAATTTGTTGCTTGTCTTTTGGGGAAAAAATTTGCTCTTCACGAGTATGGACCAATTTTACATGACGATACTGATATGATGAAGATCATAAATCAGATCTAGATGAGGTGGGATACAATGATGAAAGATCATAAATCACCAACACCATCCAAAAAAGGTGTCATTCTTGATATTTGAAAATAAGTTTCAAAATACGTCACCCCTTTTTTTGTTAAACATATACGGACTGATTCTGTGTAGATTGTGAAAGGATTCACACCCATGGATATTACAAAGTTGATTTTTGGTTAAGTCATCTCATAGTATCTCTATCATTTTTTTTATCAGCAAGAAGATTTTTATTAATAAAAGTGAAATATTGAAATACAAAAGTTATAGGTTGCAGAATGCATTAAGCAAATCTGCAAACACTACAAAACATCTACAGTTCTGCCTAGTACAAGGTAGATCTATTTGCCACCTGTTTTGCTAGGGTGTCCGCCAACCCATTTGCAGTCCTATAGACCCAACCAAACTGAGAGTTGAACCTCCTTGCAATTATGTCAATTTCTCTGTATATAAATTTGAGCTTCCAAGGTGCTGATGTGATGTATTTAGCCCAAGAAATGACCAGCAGTGAGTCTCCTTCTATTTCTAAATCTGTTGTACCAATCTGTTCAGCCATCTTTAAACCTTGAAGTAGAGCCAAAGTTTCAGCCTGTATCGAGTCCATAGTTGTCAAGGTGACGCCTAGGTGACAAGGCGCCTTTTGAGGCTCGCCTCGCCTAATCGCCAAGCAGTTCTGTACTATGCATTGCAAAATATTTTTTAATTCTTTCTTTTTTGACATTATAATTATAAAATAGGCATTATTAAACTAAAGTATTCATTTTTGGGTTTATATACTAATTTGTTTTTATTATTTTTCTTTTATTCTTTTCCTATAACAAAAATAAGGGTTTAGCCCCTATATTTTTTGATTTTCTTTTCCTTCTTTTTTTTCTTCTCATGAACATGTTGATTTTCTATACTTTAACATGAACTCTATACTTTTCTTATGAAAATTATGAATAATTATTAAGGAAATATGGCTATGGCACCTAGGGAAACCCCCTAGGATCTATGTTTTCTATATAAAAAAATCCATCGCCTAGGCAACAAGGCGCCCCCTAGACGCCCAGCCTTGCCTTGGCGCCTTGAAAACTATGATTGAGTCACCAATACCTATTGGTCCTGAGAAGAGTGCCACAACTTCACCTAGATGATTTCTAATAACACCCCCTATACCTGCCCTTCACGGGTCACCAAAGGAACTCCCATCAAAGTTTAGTTTTAGTTTGTTTAGTGCAGGTGGTTTCCACTTCGCTCTCACATCTTCTTTGGGTACATCTGTTTGTGCTACTCCAGTCCAGCTTATTAGAATCTCATTTGTGGAGAAGTTTTTGAATAGTTCCACGGTCATCACCCAATGTGCAGTTTTGATTTTTATGGTTTCAATGACTTCCTCCTTTGATTTACTTTTTTCAGAGAAGAGTCTTTGGTTTCTTTCCTCCCATATAGTCCATACAACAGAAGCTCTTGCTGCCTTCCATAAGCACTTTTCTCTTTTCTTCTATTGCCTCAGGAAGGAGGGGTTGAATAGACTTACCACAACATGTAGGGGAGCCCATCTGCATCCAAAGAGAGAACAAACAATTTCCCAAATACAAGATACAAAAGAACAAGATAAGAGTAAGTGGGGTAGGGCTTCACCACAATCCTTACAGAGGACACACACATGAGGAGAAAGGCATTTATTTGGCCTTCTTTTCTGTAGCACATCACACGTGTTTACCTTCCCTAGGAACACTTCTCAATAGAAGGCTTGTACTATGTGAGGGATCGGTTTACACCAGATTCTCTCACTAGAAAGTTCACCCCCAAAGGATCAGAATGAGTGAGCAAACCAAAGAAAGAGGCACAAGAAAATAAACCATCAGGAGTTGGGGACCATACTCTACTATCAGCTGTAGTTTGATCTAAATAGACCTTCTCAAGGGTTGATAGCAAAAGCAATAGGGACTCGCATTAATTTTCCCTTAGCCCCCTTCTAAAGCAAAAGTCCCAAGAGATACCCAATTCTGAAAGTATGCCAACCCTAGCAACAGGTTTGTTTTTAAGGTTTGATAAAGAGTAGAGTCCAGAAATTTAACCTTAAAGGGCAAATCCCCTACCCAAAGATCTTCCCAGAATAAAACTTTATTGCCACACCCAACACCGAAACGGATAAATTGAAGAAAGGTTGGTAGTACCTCAAAGATTGCCTTCCAGGGGGAATTCGGAGCTGCATTGGAAGCTACTTTTGCATCCCAGCCGTTTTCTACTTCACCATGAAGGCTCTTAATGACCCTGTAAGGATTGTGGTGAAACCCTACCCCACATACTCATGTGTGTGTCCTCTGTAAGGATTGTGGACGAATGATAGAAGATTGTAATCAACCCATTTTTTATTTACAATCTTCTCAGAGCTGTTGTTCAGACACGGCCATGTAGAGAGAGAGGGAGGGAGGGAGAGAGGGAAGGAGTTCATTATACCCACCATCCACGAGTTTAGGGTGTATTTTGAAAATTTAAAAGAAAATGAAGGATAAAAGAGTCACAAAGTATATTTGTCTTTTTTTAAACCCAGGGTATGTTAAAGTCTTTCTCTACTTTCCTTAGGATTAGCACCTAGGGGAAGGCCTAAGTAGATCATAGGCCAAATGGTGGTATAGCACTGCAGACAAGCAACTAAAGAGTCTACTTCATAAAGCTTAAATTT